TCGCCACAGCCCAGCGCTGCAGGCCAGCCGCAGCTGGCGGCGCTTGGCAGCGCACGGCAAACACTGAAGGCGGGTGGGTTCCCTTTCGGCAAAATCCGGTCGCCACAAAGTAGGGCTCCCCCTCTATTCATTCATGATGTTCCTGGTCCACCTGTTTGTTTGTCAGTCGAGGTATACTGTAATTGTCCTGGCTAGAGCAGATCGCGAATACTAAGCTTACTGGCTGCCTGCAAATCAACACGCGCTTACGCAGGTATGCAATCATAGGGTCCATCTAGAAGGTGCTGTGTCCCCTGCCGTGCGCATGCATCAGCTCACTTGACCATGGGCCCAGCAGAGTAGAGTAGAGTAGAGTGGACTGGGCGCTGGGCACCCAGTATGTTTTAAGGACGGGCGCGGGGGTCAGGGCAACCGCCCGTTCCCCCGCTGCCCCACCGGTGTGGGGGACCTGGGGCCCCCCACTGGGCGCTTAGGGACCCTCAGGTGACGCCCTTGGGCTGCCCCTTACGGTGTCGCCGCGCGCACACTTTTCGTCTATGGCTCTGAGCGGACAGAGGTGGGACCCGCGCGGCTGTTCGCGATCCAGCATGGGGGTCTGGTTCCCGTCGCTGCCTCGTCCTGGCCTCCGCATGTGTCCCTGGCCGGCGCCGCTTCCGCCCAGATCCCTCAAGCGCCCTGCGAGCTGTAACGACCCGGTGGGTGTGGCTCAAGGCGCTGCCATGCAGGTCGCGGCGCACGCGGGCTAGGTCCTTCTGCTCCACTCCCAGCTGCAGCAATGTCGGGTCAAGCGCCTGTTGTATCCCCCCAGCGACCCCAAGCGGGATGACGTGTAGGCGGGCGAGTTGGCCCGGCTGTGAGGACAGCCGCTCCATAAGCGGGCTGTGTTGGCTCTCAGCTACCATTGCCCCAGCCACAACTTGAAGCAGCCGTCCGCGTGCCCTTCGCCTTGTGTCTCACAACTGCGGGTTGTGGAACAAGAGAGGGATGTTTTGAGACTTTGCTGTCTCGCAGGCTCCTCGCGGACAGTGGATCGTCCAGTCACCTAGCCCCCCAAACCAGGGAGTCAACCCTTCAAAGAAAACTTTGGGCACCATGCTGACGCTTTTGGAAACGAAGAGGAGCATCACCATCAGCCGGAGGATAGCGGATCTCACACGAATCCAAAAAGGCGGAGAGGTGAGGGCAGCTCCCAAACTCGCGCTGCGCACGCTGCCGGCGCTGGGGCGGGTCGCGCGCGGCCCGCCCTGTGCTGATGTGCTCGCGCGAGCACACACAGCAGCAGCGCTCGGCAGAGGGGCAGCCGGCCGGAGCGTTTCCTGGCAGCAAGGGATCCATTTTGGGCGGTGATTGTGTACGATGTGGGGCGTGTGTTGAGCAGGGGCAGGGGCGCACGCCGCTGGCGCGGCCGGGGCGGCCCTGCCTGAGATGAATGTTTGCACGTCAAGCAGCCGATCAAGCATCACCTCTGCCGCTGCGTGTGCCCAGCTCATCCGCTGTATGTGCTGGTCGTGCAAAGCAGCATCAAAGCCTGCTGGAAGATCACACAGCCTGCCAGCACACCCACCTGCGTGTGCAGCAGGTGCCAGCTGGGCAGCCAGCTGCCCAGCGTGCACCGCGCCCAGCCCAGCCCAGCTTCAACGCCCGCATTTTGTGATAGAACAAAGCCGCAAATGACCACAGGCATGCTGCGCAATCACTGGGGGCAGAAGTGGTGCTGCTTGGGGACCTCAACGCGCGGGTTGGTCGTGCACAGGCGCCAGGCCAGCGCGTGGGGCAGCACGGGGAGCAGGCCTTGAACGCAGCAGGCCGTGACTTG